GTAGTGAGAATAAAGATGAATTGAAAACGTTACTTTTTTTAAGTAGTATAGAGAAATAGTAGAGATTAAGAGCATCCCCACTAGCCCCCGCCCAACAGGCCCCTCTCCCCTCCCTCCCCCACATGGTCCTTTTTTATTACCGGCGTAAAAAAATGGCACAGTCACGTCTTCAGAAACCCAATTTTCATCAGTTAGGCCCGAATTTGACGCCGATGAACCCAGGTCAAACCGGCGCGCTGGGGGGCGCCCGGGGGCGCCAGGGGAAACGTTTTGGCGCGAAATCCCAGTGGGGCCGCCGAGTCAGCGACCAACCTCGTCTTGTCTTCCTCATAGCCTCATTTTTCCGCGGGGAATCAATCCCAAGGCTGCCGCCGGTCAGCCTTCCATTGATTCCTCATGGACGGCGCAGTGCGGCGACGCGCCACCTCCCGCCAACATCAAGGCCGAGCCCGTGGAGACACCGCTCAGGGGACGCACCCGCGGCGGCGCCCTCGTCTTCAACGAGGGCGGCCGTGCATCCTTCGCTCCCTCCCCCGCCTCGTCAAGTCGAAGACGGAGCCGGGCCTCGTCGTTGTGAAGAGCGAGCACGAGGACATGGCCACCGCTGAAGAGGCTTCTATCAAGTGGGCGCGGGAGGACTGGGTCCGGCTGGAGACGGAGCGCCAGCGCGCGCCCTCGAGGGCCGCGACCGCGACGAGCATGGCGTCATCGTTCTCGAGAACAGCAACGACGAGGCACCGCCGCCCGCCAAACCCGTCCGTCAAGGCGATCCCGGACAGGGGTGCAGCAGGAATGTCAGCGGTGTGAAGGAGGAGAAGAACGACGACAGCGGGGACTACAACGCCTTCCGCAAGCTCTTCGGCCTATAGGCGGAGCGGCGGCGGAGCGGCGGCGGCGCGGCGTAGTAGTAGTTGTTTTTTTAATTTTGTTTTATTATATTATGTTTTCAATATGGAAAAACGATGAAACGTCTAAATTTTACCGAATCTGTGTCGTGTTTGACCGAATTTTCATCAAGTATGTTTTTTAAAAAGTTTTAAAAACATAGCCTGGGGGAGACCTTGGGGCGACGGCTGGAAATCCGATCAGCCCCACGCTGAAATTATCGCCGGTTTGTCCCCAAAACAGCGCTATTTGAAGCCTCTGAGGGGCGAACGGCTGGAAATGCTCTAAGTAGTAGAGATGTCATCAGATTAACCTGATCTCTCGCCGTCCGCGCCTTTCTGCGCCGCACATGCCGATCGGCCATGCACGCATGCACGCTCGTGCAGCTCATACACACAAGCGTCGCACCTACGCATGCCCATGGCCTATGGACCACCCGCTCCAGGTAGTTGTGGTACGCGTGCCAAGCCGCTACACTTCAACCACCGATACATGCATGCAATGCATGATCGATCACCGGTTGGCAGTTGCTTCCGATTTGCGGCGACAGATTGCCAAAGTACTCCTACGACTTTAATCAACTGCCACTTAGTACATGCTTCAGTCTCAGCTGCGGGCCAAGTGATGAATTAAGTGACCGCCTCGGTTTTTCAGCTCGCTCATCCAGTCATTCTCCCTGCACTTTGTCTGAACATGCCACGGCTCGTGTGGCAAGGACGGGAGATGAATTCCTGAAACGGCTCACCCACCAAGTTCCAATCCTGGCTCCATCCTTACTACTGTTCAGTATTGATCTTCCCCTAAGGACGCATCAATGTAGTAATAGTATTAATCATCATTTGCACAACAGAATCTCTGAACCTTCACTGCTCCACAGTCCGCACTCGAGGAACTCATGACAGGATGATCCTCTGCCCCCTTTGCTGCGTTCACACTTCAGATGCTGACATGTTGCTTCATGATTAGCCATCACTGCCGCATTATCAGTATCATAAGGTAGGGAGGAGGGATGAAGGAAGATATGAGGAGGGTACGTGAGGTCTCATGGGAGAAATGATGCTCTTCATCCCCCCTCCCCCCTGCCCTTTTTTAGATAACTAATTATAATTAATTAAAGGAGAGATCTGGAGAAACTTCCCAGATCAGCTTTCTGGTGGGGAACATGTGAGCTGCCTGTTGGGATTGAGCTGAGTTTGATCTGTGCAAAGATCAAACCAAATCCTCCTTTGATACTTCTGTACTGCTGCTTGTCAATAGAGTTCAGAGAAGGAGGAGAGGAGGAAAAGTTGTAAGTTGGATACTTGGATACTGCGCGTACAAGAATTTTTGGAGGTGGCCTTTGTCATTCTGGCCGAAGCAAAGTTAGCTATCATCACAACTGCTAGTCTGGCAGGATTTGCGAGCCTTGAGCGAGCTGCAAATCTTAATTAACACCTTGTTGAACCTTTGGTCGTGGGTGCTAATCACATGTATATGACTGGCTAATCTTAGGACCACCCGAGTTCGTTCGTTGGTGTCGCCAACGTGCGGATCAATCACCCATGTTCTGCAGGAGTATTTCTAATTAGCAGGCTAACAACCATGATTTGGTGAGCCCAGGCCCCACGCACACCTCCCTCTTCGGAAGAAAACATGTTTAAACACACGGCCATCAGGTCGTCTCATCAGCTCCTCACAGAGGCATATCCGCACCTTTGCGTTCATCCTCCTCTGAAATGATCATCCCGGCCTCGGAAAACTAGCGCCACATCCGTAAATATCCACGATGGTTCATCCAAAATGCGCATTTGTAGAACAACTTTGCGACGGGACTTTTGATCCCAGATTTCATCGAGACAGTTAGTGGTGTGTATAAGTTTAAAGGATGGGACAAACTTTCGACGGCATACGAATATCATATACTACCAGACGTGAAAAGATCGTCCAAATGGCATGGCTGGAACCTCCACTCCAGGCTGACGCATGCATGCGAGTTTGTGGAGCCCCAGTCAGCGAGCGAGCGACCTGTCTTGCCAGCTTGCCTGATCCTTCCACTAGGAGCAAGAGGATCCCTTTTTTTTTGCGGGTGAGGAGCAAGAGGATCCCAACAGCCAAATTAGCAAGAGCAAGTCCGCGACCAAGATTGCTCGGCCTTTTTCACCCAACCAGAACCAGTCGCCAGTGGGATGGCACGTCTAGCCACTTCGCGAAGGAAGGAGGAAATACAGTGGAGTAACAGAAAGCTACACTGGGTTGCGCTGTCTGAAACACACTTGAGCAGAGCCGTGTCGATCGTCAATTCCGTCATGAAGCACAACGGCGCTGCTTGATTCTTGCACCATGGGTCTTTCTTTTTTCCTCCACAATTCGGCACCATGTTCTCGTGCAGCAACGCAGATAGAGATCGTAGTACCAGCAGAGTGGCAGTACTACTTGCATCGTTGGTCCACACGGCTCCATCCGTTTCTGAATTTCTAAAGTACCACCACAGTGCTGCTGTGCTGACCACGGAGTGGCGTCCGATCCGAGCATGATTTTCTTGCGGATCAGCCTGGTCAACGGCACACGTTGCTTCCTCTCTCTCTCTCTGCAGAATCTTCTTACTACTAATACTAGTAATCGATCGCGACGTTGGCGGGGTGGAGATGATTTGTGTTTGACTGGGGGCGCACGCAGGTCTTGAATTGAACCCAACAACCAGCCGCTGGCTCAGCTTATTCCTTGCTCTCGCAGAGAGAGAGAGAGAGAGAGAGAGAGAGAGAGAGAGAGAGAGAGAGAGCTAGCGAGTCGTTGTGTCGTCGCCATGATGGCTCGAGCGTGTGCGTACGCGCCGAGGCCATCTGGCATATATCCGTGAGAAACGAGCGAGCGGGATATTGATCTTCTTTCTTTTCCTATATATAGAGGAATATATAAGCCAAGATCCGTTCAGCTGCCACTATTTATATTTGGGCGTGCGAACGCGTGGCATGTGGTGGACACGTACTACGCGCCCACCACATACTACTACTTGGAGCTACGTCGCCCCGAACGTTACTTGGAAGTCAACCCACCTGGCCCGGGTCAATTCCTTCCTTCATCGTCACACCGCGCTGTTTTCCTTGGACCCGTTCAGCCGTCTGCATGCGCCGCCGCCCGATCTGTTCCGTTCCGTGGGGTCGCCGTCAAACCACGGAACGGTCGCCCCAGCAAGGAACGTGAAACAGAGAGTTCGTTCCAAAAGAGGGGGCCGTCGCCCGTCGTAAAAAAAAGAAGAAGACGCAAATTTCCTCTCGCACCGTCGCACGTCGCTGATCCGAATGAGCCGCCGGCCGGCCGTCGTTTCCTTCACCGAACGGGCCCCTGACCCATCACCGGCCGGCCGGTGCCGATCTGCTCCATCGCTCCTACGAGTAGTACCTGCTGGTATCTGCTAGGTCACGTCGCTTTCAGCATTTCACGTTGGCTACGAGGTCGCGCGAGCGCACCAACGCAGAGGCACGCTTGTACTGCACCCGATAGAATAAACGTAACGCATCTGTTTACTCCAGTGGTAGTACAGTCATTTGCAGCCACAGCCCACAGCCACTGTAAAATAGTATACGGAGAGTATGTTTCGACGGCAACAGTGATCCCTCCGGTGCTTCCTGCTGACACCGACTGCCCAGCATCGTGCAGTAGTAGCAGCGGGCGTTCCATCCTTGGGCATTCAATTTCAAGTCTCCGAGTTTGCTCCATCAAAAGAGGACGTGACTGCGTATGGAAAAGGAACGAGCCGTGCCAGGAAATGCAGACCTCTGCCATACATATTGTAGTTTTTTCCCATTGTGACAGGGACGGTAGATGACATACGGTCCTTTGGAGATCGCATCGCCTTGGCAACAGTAGTAGTAATCTTTCTTCTTCTTTCGTGGTGTTTTGTCAGCCCTGTTTGCTGACCAAACACGCAGCATTTCCGGTGCCGTCGTGTCAAATGAAGGCAGCAGCACCGCCTCTGATGATCCCCCAACAACCAACCACTGGGGCACGAATTTCGCCGGAGCGGA